ACAAATGCAGAAGTGTCGTTTAAAAAACGGACAAAAAGAACCTAGGGCAAAATGGTTATTTTGAAAAAAGTGGATTCAGGTGCTATCGAGCACACCACTGGAAAGACAATGACAAATTAGTCAAATTCAAAAAAAAGTTTACTCAATTTGGAGTCCGGACGGGAGAGAAAGGTCAAAAACAAAAATGATGTCGTGGCGGCCCGACGAGGACAACCCACCATTGCTGCAACTGAGAGTAAAAACGGGCATCTAAACGGACTTTTTTGGAAAAAAAATTAAAGAAGAAACCCCCCCTAAAATCAAGTTTCCTACCCCAAGCGCGGACAGAAACAAAAAAAATACATTGTAAAATACTCAGAATGCCCCCAAGAAAATTAGGTCAAGAGGAAAAAAACGAATCCGAGCTACTACCCAAGTTTTGGAAATAGGGTTTCGGGAGGTTTTTAAATTGCCCAAATTGAAAATGCAATCTTAAAATACACCCACAAGACCTCCAGAAGTTTCGTATCGGTCGTGATGATTTTAAAAAAAAAAAGTCGATGAATAGTACCAACTACATTTCTACTAAAAATTTGCAAAACCTGGCAATAAGGATTTTCTGGAAAAATATGGATTTTTAAGGGCCAAGATGATGTTTTCTGGAAAAACACAAAAAAGAAACCCCCTTCAAAATCAAGTTTTCTACATGACTCGCAAGAAAAACTGAAAAAAAAAACTCATTTTGAAATACCCAAAATGCCCCTGTAACAGAATAGGGTCAAAACTAAAAAATATGCAACTTTAGGTTTTTGTTTCATCAAGGAAGGTATTGTTTGCCAAAGTGAGTATGCAAGTGCATGCAATATGATAAAATAGATGTACCAACATGGCCTAAATCCTCTTTGCATTCCATTAACAAGTTTAGCATACAAAGCCTACATTTCTCACAAATAAGTTACAATGGCAATACTTGAGTTTTAAAGAAAACATGCTTGTACTCTTTCATGTTAATGGCTCTTGGCCTCATGCTACACATACAAAACAAGCATCAAAAAGAGTACTTAGATACACATTACATGAAGGAAGCCATCTTAACTTCTAAAATACCATACATCCATAGTATACAAAAGTATTACATCCAAAAGATAAAACATGTTAAACAAGTGCATGCTAATATACAAAAATGCTTCAACTAGCTCAAAGGCTTCTAAGGATGATAAGCATCCATGAACATGGTCTCTTTACCTAAAAAACAACCCAAACCACTAGGGTGAGTAATCAAGTTACTCGTAAGAGAAGCATATGCGTATACCCTAAAGTTTTAATATCATTGCGAGATCAATATAGACGAATACAAGGGAGCATTCCACGTAACGTCTATGTTCAAGGTGTGCTAAGGAATCATCTTAAGCTAACTTAAATGATTCTTAAACAACACATAACAATGTCAATGTACTTAACAACATCAATTCGCAATCAACCAAAAATTACAAGTTACAATTAAACATTGGTTGTCAACTTGAAATTTAATGCGAAATCACATAATGGAAAACTTGGACATCTCGTCTTGGATTAAACCAAGATCAATATGGTTATTTCGGGCATTAACCCGCTGGGAAGACCACCCTAGTGCGCACTATCTCAATTGGGGAGAACTCATACCTCCCGCACTAAAGCCAAACTTTAGCCATGTCACTTGTAACACAATGTCCCAAGAGAATCCAAAATATATCAAGTTCAAAACTTATATATCATAATTTAAGGCATATAAACCACCTTCCATGCACAAGTATCTTTGAAACCACACAAACCATGTTTTAGGGTTCCAAATCTAGAATGGCATAATAAATGACAAGTTCTTAACATGATATAATGTGCAATATAATACTACAAACTCATCAATTTAAACCATATCTCAACAATAAGCTTTATATACTAGATTACAACATTTATAGTATTAAGCTTCTAAAATAATTACAATCACCAATAGTAATCAACTTGAATGTAGAATTATCATAACAATAGTATAGTAATTCAAGTCAATAAGAGTTATATACAACATCAATAATCCTACACAAGATACATACACAATATACATGCTTAGATCAAATAAACCCTAAGTCAATCATAAGGATTTCCTATAATATGCAAGACTATCATATTAGAAGCATGTACACAATATATATTAAACCCCAAAGGATTATAAAACACTTAAAATATAAACATACTACCACCCCTACCTCAATAGAGAATTGAATCTCTATAATCCAAGCAACCAAGCACTAAATGAAAAACAAGCTTAAGGTTAATGAAGAAGAGAATGAGAGGAAACTTTTGCTAGTTAAGGTTCTTAGTCTAAGATAAATGGAAGGGCACCAAAATTGAAGAAGAAAGCTATTAACAAAGCTTTTCTCCAATGGTGGCTAGGTTAGAACTTCGAAGCACTAAGGAAAATGAAGAGGATAAGTGAAAAATGGTGAGTGGAAGGGTTAGAGATCCTCCACTCACTATGTGCTCTTACACTACCTCACACACACACACTTGCAAGACTAAATCTTGATCCTACGCTTGTCACAAATCAAAAGCTCTATCCTTAGGCTTAATCTCAAGCCTACACTTGTCAATAATCAATGGTTACATGTGCACCAATCTAAGGCCAACACATGAATGAATCTCCACCCACCAAATGTCAAGAAGTCATAGTGCCAAGTCTCTTCACCTAAATGCCAACAAATGGCTCCATGAGAGTGTGACACTTGTCACACTTTCCAAAAATTGCAAAATGGTCATTTTTTAAAATATCCTCCAAAATAATTTGCAAAAAGGTCCCCAAAACGAAAAATAATTATTTTACATAATTACACTAAAACCCTAAAAGTTATAAATAATTACACTAAAGTATGCATTTATGCCCTTTACAAGAAAAGTACTAATCTAGCATGCTTTTCAAGAAAAGTATGCTAGCAATGTCATGGAAATCAAATATCATGAATGCATGCAAAATTGGAATCAAATCCGAGCACAACAAGTGAGGTTATGTACGGAAAAATGAAAAAAGACTAAAAGACGAAATAAGGAAAAGACGAAATAAGGAAAAGACAAAAAGGAAAAAGACAAAAAAAGAAAATCGCCGAAAATGGAAAAGGAGGAAAAAGACTGGGTCATTACAGGGATATTATGGATTGAAGGATTTATGTAGTGCTAGTTTTCCTTCCACCTTTATTTATTTCATTATTGTATTTTGTACTCGGTGCTTGTTTATTACTAGATACTTGATGTCTTCTAATTTCTATATATAAGCTTGGCCAACTTATATGTGAAAATTAAGGGGTGTCACAATTACTAATTTACGATTATAAGGATCATTCACCGAAATATCGTTAAATCATCATCGACTATGTGTTTTGGTGGTGGTTGGGTTAGGATGGTGGCAGTGGCTGTGGGGCGAGGATAACGGTGGTGAAGCTATAATTTATGGTGGTCATTTGCCGGAGTGGAATCGTTGCCGATGGTTGTGGGGGCGGTTATGGGGATGTCAGTGGCGTCGCTGATTTTGTTGGATTTTGTTATGGAGATGTGGTGGTTGATTCCCCAGAAATGATTTGCAGAGATAGCAACGACGACGATCTTTCTATAGATGGCGAGAGAGCGAAGTAGATAGAAAGAGTGATTGATCCACCGAAACCGATTTACAGAGACGACAGAGGCGACTTTGATCTGCTGCAATAATGACGACAGCTTGCGGTGGCGGCGATCTTTCCATGGATGGTGAGGGAGCAAAGCAGACAGAGAGTGATAGTGAGATCGAAGCATTGTGCTAACGGAGAAGGAAGGTTGAAAAGGTTTGTCGTTAACGTCCGTTTGGTCCCAAAAAATGGTATAGTGTAGGTAAGTGCTCTCAAATTAACCTTTAGATTTAGTTTTGGAGAGAGCATAAGAGAGAGATACCTCCGGAAAGGATCCGTATCTGTAGTCAATATCCATAACTAATTGAGAAATTATTGAGTATTCGGGTAGCAATTTTGGAAGAAAATCTCCTCACGTGAACAGTACATTCTGTTTTGTCTAGTTCGGAATGTACTTTACAAAAAATTTAAAATCTTTGCTAAACCTCCTAAACTTTTTTGTAAGCTGCATCCCAAATTAGACGAAACAGATACTATTGTTCCACTGAAAAGGATTTGGGTTCAGCAATTGTTGAATATCCCAACCAATCACAATGCCCCATTTCTTATTATTAAGATAAATGAGGTATCGTGTTTGATCAGGTATTCAATATCTGCTAAAACGGACAACGAGCCTAATTTGCTGGAAGAGATTAGTCCTACTCAAAGGTGCCAATGAATAATTTTTTGAATTGTGATACAGTGATACTGATTGGAATGTAGGATATGTTCGATTACATTCACTTCCATAGCTGAACTTGTTGAAGAGGGTCTTCCTTCTTTTATCTCCAAAGACCCTCTTGAGACATGCCTTTTTGAAATGTATAAAAATTGTGGTGTTGATCTTGAAAGCTCCAAAAATGAAATAAACTCTCTAATGGACTCCTTAGTTAACTTAGAAGGTGAGAAGATGGTGATTTTTGAGGAAGAGAAAAAGGATGAGGGTTGAAGTATGTATAAATGGATGGGTATGCTGTATTATTCAATAGCTTGAACTTTTGGACACATGGAAAAGAACCCACCCGTTACAATTGGTATCAGAGTTAGATCCAGTCCTTAATCCGGTGTTACGCCTAGCACCTGATCCAAAAGGCGCCCAGGTCTATCCCTGGATAGGCAAGATGGTCCAATCGTAACAAAGACGTTGCACGAGTTCGGATGAGAGAGAATGTTACAAGTGAAATTTGTCTCACATTAAATTTGAATGAGGGTTGAAGTGTGTATAAATGAGTAGGTACAATGATATCAAAGTATAAATAAATTACTATCAAGGCTTTTGTGGCTGAGTGATATTTTCTCCCGCTCTAAAGTGTGAGTTTCTTGCTGGAAATATATATATATTATTTATCATTTTCCTTCAATTTTTAAACAAGATACCAAATGCCCAGACATCATCATCTGTACAACAAACAAAAATGTCACCCCTCCACTATTTGAACTACCGGTACTGCAAACAATCCACAACTAACAAAGCATCTTAACAAACCCTCCGATGTCTGGACAACGGAATTGGAGATTCCTCTTCTTCTTCTCCTTCATCATCATCATTCTCAGATCCATTAATTCCTCAATAATTTCTCAACCAATCAAATCACCAAACCCAGATCCCGAATTCCCCTGTAAGCCACCACACCACAACTCCTACCCCTTCTGCAACACCTCCCTCCCCATCAAATCCAGAGCCCAATCTCTCATCTCCCTCCTCACCCTCTCCGAGAAAATCCAACAGCTCTCCAACAATGTCACCACCATCCCTAGACTCGGCATACCTGCCTACGAGTGGTGGTCCGAGGCCCTCCATGGGGTTGCCACCAACGGCCCCGGAATCACCTTCAACGGCCCGATTCCGTCCGCCACTAGCTTCCCCCAAGTCCTCCTCACCGCCTCCTCTTTCAACAGAACCCTCTGGTATTCGGTCGCCGCGGCTATAGCTGTCGAGGCTCGTTCCATGTTCAATGCTGGGCAAGCTGGATTGACATTCTGGGCACCTACAATTAACATTTTTAGGGACCCCAGATGGGGGAGGGGACAGGAGACACCGGGGGAGGACCCGGTGGTGGCGTCGGCCTATGCCGTCGAGTTTGTGAGGGGTTTTCAGGAGGGAGAGGATTGGAGGAGGGTTGGGAATGGTGGTGGTAAGAAGAGGAGGTTCTTGAGAGGTGATGATAATGGGGGATTGATGTTATCTGCTTGTTGTAAGCATTTCACTGCTTATGATTTGGAGAGTTGGGGGCAATTCAGTAGATACAGCTTCAATGCAGTGGTAAGTAAGAGTCTCTGTCTTTCACATTGATTCCATTCTATACTTTGTTCAATTTGTTTATTGCAATTTAAAATCAGAATTTTGGAACTTGCGTTTTTGTTTGATATCTTCATGAAAAATTCACACACACAAACATCACATATGGGAATTAATCTCGACGTAGAGGATTTGATCAATATTTGTACCTTAGTGTTGAGATATGTATATCGATGAGTGGAACAATGTTAGAATATTAAAAAGTGACAGAAATGGAAACTTTTAGTACCAAAAGCATTTGTTTTTTAGGAAAAGAAAAAAAAATTATCACGAGAATTTCACTTTCTTGGGAACGTTATGCAGCATTTAAATTTTTTATTTTATTTTATTTTTTCTTTTTAGCATGGATGGAACATTTACTTATGTCCTTATTTTTTATCTTTCTAAAATATAACGGGTATAATCATAATTTTCCAAAAGAATGTTATAATAGCCCATATTCCTAGGGAAAAAAAAAAAAAATAGGGCTAAGGGCAAAAAAAACCCTGGAATATAGGTTATGTGCATAATACATCCCTCCTTTTTGAAGATGTACATTTCAGTCTATAAAATTCAAAAAAGGTGCAAATAAGCCCCTTTGACCATTTTTTGCCAAAAAGTAAATATGATAATTCGATTTTACCCTTTTTGTTCCTGTTTTGTCCCTACCCCAACCCATTTCCTTATCCCCTCTCTCTCTCTTTCTTTCTTCATAATTACTCCTTTTTTTTCAATGTTTCCTTTGTCTTTCCTCTTTCCGTTTATGCTCCCTTTAAATGCAAGAATTATCATGAACTAATAAGAAAAAATTCAGAAGGAAGGAAAATTAATTTTCTTGGAAAGTTTTTATTTTATTTTAAATTTTTATTTTTATTTTTATTTTTATTATTATTATTTTTTATGGGAAGGAAAGAAAAGTTAAGGGTGTATTATATAGTTTGGGAGTGTTTGGTTTGGGTTTTATTATATTTGGTTTTGGGGTTGTTTGGTTTAGCTCATCTCATTCTTGGACAAAATGAGGTTTATTTTATTCTTATCCCAAACTAACAAAATCCGACACAAATGGGACAAAATGGTCATTTTACACGGCCTGCATTTATACTTATTAATTTATTCTACTGAGGGTATTATCGTCATTTTAAGTATCCATGGGGCTATTTGCGTAAAATCAATAGTATAAGGGTGTTTTACACTACATAGGGACTACTTTGCACTATATGGATAGTAGAGGTTTTTTTTTTGTACTCTAACCAAAAAAATATTTACATTTTCAAAGTACTTCCATTTCTTCTAATAAAAGGAACCAAAAAAAAAATTGATTCGAGCCAAATCCATTTAGACTTGTTATTCCTTAAATAATAATAATAATAATGACAATTTAGGTAAACAACAAAAGTTTCTTGTAACTTCTATGATATCCAAACCATGAAATGGATTTTTCTACAACATTCTTACAAAAATTTCATTTTTAATCAAATACATGCTAGAAAACTTATTTTATTGTGTTTCAATTCACTTTCTAAAACTTTCATTTTTCACTACTTTTTCTACTGGACGATGCTGAAAATTGTGTTATTTGTGAAGAATATACTCAATTGGTATGTTAACAGCCTTAAAAAGTAGCAGTGTCGCATATTTTCTAATGCTATAATATAGTATAGATGCAGATAGTTTTACATGTCTAGGTTGAGTTGAACTAGGCTTCGAGATTTGAAGCTTCATTGGTTCTCAATAATCAGGTCACAGAGCAAGATTTAGAGGATACATATCAGCCACCATTCCAGAGTTGCATTCAACAAGGCAAAGCCAGCTGCTTAATGTGTTCATACAATCAGGTGAATGGGATACCTGCATGTGCAAGAAAGGACCTTTTCCAGAAAGCTCGAGATGAGTGGGGGTTCAAAGGGTGATATATACCATTCTCTCGTTATTTAATGAGATTTAAAGAATCTGTTCTTCAAACAAGATTTGATCGTAAAACTTATATGTGATCCTTCTGAATGGCATAAACACAGATATATCACCTCTGACTGTGATGCTGTGGCCACAATATACGAATATCAGAATTACACAGCAACTCCTGAGGATGCAGTTGCAGATGTTCTTAAAGCAGGTTTTTCTACTCTCATGGTGGCACTTTGTATCTTCCGGTTTACATATTCCAGAATTTATTGTTGAATTTTTGTGTGCAGGGATGGATATTGATTGTGGAACATATATGCTTAGAAACACGCAATCTGCTATCCAACAGGGGAAGGTACAAGAAGAGGACTTAGATAGAGCTCTTTTAAATTTGTTTTCAGTTCAACTTCGTCTTGGGCTTTTTGATGGGGACCCTAGAAAGGGGCAGTTTGGAAAATTGGGACCTAAAGATGTCTGCACTTCAGAGCACGAGACTTTAGCACTTGAAGCAGCGAGGCAGGGCATTGTGCTTTTAAAAAATCATAATAAGTTCCTGCCTTTGAGAAAGAACAGAATTTCTTCATTAGCTGTAATTGGTCCGCTGGCAAACAACACCAATTTGGGTGGTGGCTACACAGGTTTATTTATTTATCTCGGTTTTTTCTTACCTTTGCTTTGTAGGTCCATTTGAACTTTCTTCACTCAGATTACATCAATATGGAAAGTAGCATAGTAAATCTTATTTGGTTCTGATGCTCATTAGCTAATTTTATCAAATATCACTAATAATTCATGAGCTATTTCACTAATATTTGAGAAATCATGATTTGTATTGAGATAATTGATGAAATTCTCAAAATTAAGAATGACAACTTATCGGCTGCTCCTTGCACAACATGCAACTCCCTCCCAAAAAAAATTTGAAATTTTTTCTTCTTCCTGAATTATTCTTATTATAATTGCTGAAATATGTCATTGCCAAGTACTGGAGTTATGAATTTTAGAGTTCAATTGAGTGCCAGATGACAATAGAATCTAAATTGTTGGTACTGCGCTGATGTAGTTGAACGAGTTTTCTTAATCTTGTAGGAGTTCCGTGCAAGCCAAAGAGCATTCTTGATGGAGTGCAAGCATATGTAAAGAAAACAACATATGCAGCTGGTTGTCTTGATGGTGTACCTTGCTACTCCAATGCTGGATTTATGGATGCTCTTTCTGTTGCTAAAGATGCTGAAGTTGTCATTGTAGTGGCTGGTTTGGATTTGTCCCAAGAAACTGAAGACCACGACCGCTTGAGTCTTCTCTTGCCTGGTTATCAGATGGCCCTTGTTACCACTATTGCTGCTGTCAGTAAAAACCCTATAGTTTTAGTTCTTACTGGCGGCGGACCCCTTGACGTGTCTTTCGCTGAGGGAGACCCACGGATTGGGAGCATTCTCTGGGTTGGTTACCCTGGTGAGGCTGGAGGAAAAGCACTTTCAGAAGTGATCTTTGGAGATTATAATCCAGGTTGGTATAAGATCATTTTTTAATTTCTCATTACGGACTAGTTTAGACTCTGCACGAACATGGAATCATTTTTGAAATTATAGTATACTATTTTTTTGACATTTCTGAGGTTTGAAATTCTAGAAATTTTGAGAATAATCGGAATCATATAGAAGATAACCTTAAACACTACTGAGGAAGAATTTGATGTAGCTTTTGGGAAAAAATCAAACAGGTGGAAGACTACCTGTGACTTGGTATCCTGAGTCATTTACTAGTGTGCCAATGAACGACATGAACATGCGTGCTGATCCTTCTCGCGGTTATCCTGGAAGAACTTATCGATTCTACACTGGCAATAGAGTATATGGATTTGGACAGGGCTTATCCTATTCAACTTTAACTCACAAGTTCTTGGCAGCACCAAAGAAACTGAGTTTAGTGAGATCTATCAAGGCTGAAACGAGTAAGCGAATACTACAAGGGGGAGAAGATGGACTTCTTCACATTTACATTGACGATGTGGAAAATTGTGATTCTTTGGGATTCTACGTGCAGATCTCCGTGACAAATGAGGGAGATACGGATGGATCCCATGTTTTGTTGTTGTTCTCTAGAGGACCAAAATCCGTCAAGGGCGCTCCAGAGAAGCAACTAATTGGATTTGATCGTGTTCATATGTCTTCTTACACATCTACTGAAACAAGCATCTTAATCGATCCTTGCAAACATCTCAGCTTTGCAGATGAACATGGGAAAAGATTATTGCCCTTGGGTGATCATACTCTAATGTTGGAAGATATGGAGCATATCATTTCAATTGAATTGTAATGAAGGCCCGCCAATCACTGAACGAATTTGTAAGAGCATTATTTCTACTCATTGAGATACGCATACTATTTGAATGAAAATTTAATACTCTTGGTGCAAAAAAAAGATGGAATGACAAACTTTTCTCTGGTTTATGAAGATCAAGTATTTGTAGAATACGAGTTTCATGTGACAGAACTTCATGCAGCTTTATTAAGGTTGATATGATTAAAACACTGGCTTAAAGCAAGGTGAAGGATCCATTTTGAGAACTTAACAGCAGAAGAAATGGAAATGGTTTATACCTGCATTTTGTTCGCTTTATTTTACGAGAAAGCATTAAGAAAATTAAGCTTCTGGGCATTCTAGTTTCATGATTAATGGGTAGCTCTGGTAGCTTCTTGGACATCAAACACTAGCAGCCGCTGTCTTTCAGAACCTGGAAAGCAGGAAGTACAGGTGAGAAATCAAAGCAACGGTTTCTTCATTTTCTGAATGAATTTCAGGGAAGAAAATAAAAGCTCAATTTTCTTCTAATGATTTTTATTTTTTATTTTTATTTTTTTTTTGTCCAAAATGTGGATTTATATTGAGATGAAGGAAAAGAGAGTAGAAGAATAAAAAGTTAGGGCAACCAGACAATCACTAGTTGACACAAGAAAAAAAAAAAAAAACCAAAAGCTAACACAAAATTGCCACATTTGCTTTTGTGGCATTGCAAGACTGTGTAAAGAAAAAGTAACCCTCTTTTCTACGTGAGATTATTAGATGGTCTTAATCCATTGATACTTGATAGAACAATTTAATTTAAACTTTCCGATTAAGAAAGTAATGCACAAGAATGTATTAATATATTACAAAAAAAAATTCAACAGTCTAAATTGAACACCACTTGTCAAATGAAATTCTCCTTTTCTATAGAATAACAAATAATGGGATTTTGTCTTGGATCAAACTAAACAGGTGGTAAAAGCTACTAAGCTTAAATCACATACCATCTGAAAAGAGCAAGTAGTATGTCTCCATATCTACTTATTATTATGGATATTTTAATAAAATTAAATATATACATATTAAATTATATATTAAGTTATATTATATTATATATTAGGGTTAATTACAATGACACCCCTTGAGGTTTGTCTTAATGACAACCATATATAAATTGGGCTTTTTTTGAACAATAACACCCCCCTAAAGTTTAATAAAGTTAACAAAGGCACCCCAACTATCACCTGCTACTTCTGCCACTTAAAGAATTTGCATTGTTGCCCTTTTGAATTATCAATTAATCAATTTAAATAATAAAATTACCCTTCTTACCTTGTATAAATAAAATAAAATAAAATAATAAAAAACAAACCCAAAAATTTCCCTTCTCCTCAACACCGTCCATTACCACACCACCTCTATCATCTAAATCAATCTCTGTTGCAGTGAATGTCTCACCCACTATCACCACCATTTCGCTATTCAAAATCCAAATCTTCAACATATACTCACATATATTTATATATATATACACACATACCAACAGTTTCAAACACCAGATCTTCAATATATATATATATATATATATATATATATATATATATCTAAGGTCCTAGACTTCGACAGTGGCCGTGACAGAGGAGGAGGTGGCATCAACACCACCACAACCTTCACCCTAAGCACAACGACGCCCAATTTGATGCTTCCAAATTCTCCACCGAATTCAGCGGCTAGATCCGAGGGTTCAACGACACGGATTTTTGGTGGTGGCGGCGACCAGATCTGAGAGTTCAACGACGACAGATTTTTTGGTGGCGGCAGCGGCGGGATCCGTGGGTTCAACGACGACAGCAGGGAGCGTGGGTTGGGTTTGTTCGGATTAGGGTTTGAGAGATTATGGTTATTTGTTGCTCTGTTTTTTTTAGTTGTGGTAGTGGTGGGTTTGTTAGGGTTAAGATTTAAGAGGCCATGTTCTTCGTTGCTTTGTTTTTCTATGGTGGTGGTGGATTGCTCTATTTTTTCTATTGTGGTGATGGGTTTGTTAGGGTTAGGATCTAGGGTTTCTGATGGAGAAGGTGAGAGGTTAGAGGGAGTAGTGATGTATACTGATGACAAACCAAGGACAAAAACGTCATTTGTGAGTTTTGATTATTTTTTAAATTTAAATTAATAAAATATTGAAGGGCAATCTTGACTTTTCACACCTTTTAAGGGCTTGTTTGGATTCAATTTCTGACAAGTGGTGTCATTGTTCGAAAAAAGCTCAACTTGTATATGACTGCCATTATGACAAACCTTAGGTGGTGTTATTGTAATTAACCCTAAATATTATTAAATAATACTTAATATAATAATTTATTATATTTATATTAATGATATAGGAGTAATTATATTCTCTCTATTTATGTTGACATAACCATTATACTCATTTATATTATAAAAGGGTAAGATGTTTATCATTTTTTATAGATCAATGTGTGATATACATATATATACTAGGAAAAGGCACGTGCAATGCACTTGGTGAATTTTTTTTTTTTCCCCTTCATATTATAGAATATATTTTTTAGAGTAACTTATAGTTTTATTTATTTATATTTATTATTATTATTATTATTGTTCTTTCTTAATTTTTATGATTGAAATAATTTAGATTGCTTAAATTCTATGACAAATTATTATATCCATGTTCAATTTCTAATAATTGATATTATTTTAAATTACAAATGTGAGAACCTTGTGCTTATATTCTATTCATTGTAAGTTTATATTTGTTGTAATTGTTGTATTCTTTATATATGTTTTATCTCAATGAATACAATGATGTATTATTCATCTTATTGAAAGAATGGTAAATTCATGTTGATGTATTATTTGTTCTTATACATTAATGTATTATTCATTATTGTGATTCATTGTGTATAATATAAATATATGTGAAATTTTCACAACAGTTATCAGGTCCCTGGTCCAACTTAGAAGAAGTTTTATTATTTCCAAATTGGTTCTGCTGCTGTAAACATGAGATCAGGTTTATGCCAAGATTAGATGAACCTTTAATTGATTGGGAGCAGACTTGTTTCCAATCAATTAAAGAGAGACTTTTTATTACTTGAGCAAAGTCTACTTAATCAGAGCTTTACTTCATTTCTAGGGCATACTTGGCCAAAAAAATGCCTCATCCATTATGCTTGTAATATCCTGCACAATTTTATCTACAGTTCAAAAAATCACATTTGATTGGACAGCCCCATTTTAAAGCAACTTAATTGCCTCCTCAAACTTACAATATCCAAGGACCTCCTCAAACTTGCAATATCCATGGAACTAATTGGTAGAGCGTCCAACTCCCTAAACGGATGTGCTCGTGTTCGGGTCTTCCCACTCCTTAATTTTCTAGGATAAAATAAATATAACTTAGAATTCTAGTCAAAATTAGTCACATTTCTAGCTTGTCCTCACATATATATATATATATCTACACACACACACTATATACTATATACTATATACGATTGATGAACGACTCAGTTACAAAAGTCTCCAAGAATCCATTCAAAGGTTCAAAACGAGACTAGAAGGTCAGGTTCGCTTCGATCTCCCAAATGCTTTTTGGCACAGACGGCAACACATTGTTGAACTACCTTATGAAAAATCTTTCAATGAAAAGGATATCCCTACCAAAGCTCGTGCTATCCAAATGAATCAAGAACTTTTGATTATTGCATGAAGGAGATCCAAGAATTATTAAACAAATCTCTCATCAGAAAAAGCCGTTCTCCGTGGAGCTGTGTTGCATTCAATGTTTAGAAGAATGCTGAAATACCATGAAGGCTCTCATGCGGTCCGAAACAACGGACTTTTCAAAGACCAAAACTTAATTAGTCAATTGCACTTTATTACCTTATCAAACTTAACCATAGTTAATAATATTAACTTTAATAGTCATTTTATTCTATAACACAAGTCAGATTCGTTGCCAATTCAAGAAGATTTTTTATAGTCTTGATATCAGCACATGAATCGATTTTTATGGCATCTGCCATTTTCTAGACCAGTGAAAAGCAAAGAAAGGAGTGCGAAAAACAAATATATAGAGTAGAGGCAATAAGCGCCATTTTTTATCCCATTTCTTTTTAATAAAGGTATTGACTAACTATGGTAAATTAACTATTAAAGTTAACATTATTAACTAAGGGTTAAGTCTAATAAGGTAATAAAGTGAAATTGACTAATTGAGTTTTGGTCAGTTGAAAAGTCCATTGTTTTGTACCGCATGAGAGCCTTCCTGTACTATGTACATAATATATATATATATATATATATATATATATATATATATATACACATACATACACATACTCATATGTATGTGGCCATTTGAAAATGAACTCTAATGTACCCTCTTGGGCCGTCATTATGTGTTGATTGTTGTGTGGAAATTATTTGGGCTTATTCCTAGTTTGATGTTCGGTATGCCTAGTATTAATTTAGGCCCAATGTTACATATACCTGATTTTGACCTTTATTTCCAAAGGGGGTCTTACTGTTGTGTTTATAGATGGAGGCCCATCTAGTCCATTAAGAAAAGTACTGAATAGAGCTTACATCTTCAAAATTATCTAGATGAGTACAAAAAGCAGCCTCTAGTCTCATCAATTATAGGTTCTTTAAAAAAATTAAATAAATAAATAAATAATTGTTAATGTCGCAGGTAAAATATAGGTACAAATCGACCAAACCGACTAATTTATGAAAGTACATAAGATATCAAACCTTTGAAAAAAAATTATAAATCAACTTATATATACCGTGTCGAAACCTTATTTAGAATTTAAAAAACAAATTATATAAGTTATGTACTTATTATTTGTAGTCTAGTATTATGGCCAAGAAAAAAATGTATAGTTGTGGTTGCCTTTTTAAATATAGATATAGCTGAAGATTTAATGAATATTGAGAAGTTCAATTGGAAGATTCAGTGTAAACTATGCGTATAGTCCACACCAAAACAATATGGTTGGTATAGTACAAAATTGAATGGAAACTTTATGACATTTTAATATGAGATGATGTGAAAGCGTTTGATATAAAATTTGTGAGACAAACTACGCGTTTGGAGACAAAATGATGTACCGCGTTTGACTTTCTTCACACAAAGCACCACATGTGTTTAATGTAAACACAACCACACGTTATATATTGACAATGGTTACCACGTGTGACTGTCGGTATATGCTAGATATACCTGTATATGCTAGATATACATGTATATATATACATATATACATATGTATGTATATCTGCGTGTGTTATGCATATTTGGCATGAAATTGACGAATTGTTGTTGACTTTGCGATCTCTCTGTATTAAATTAACCATTTTATTGTTCCTCTCATAATTAATAAATAGCAATGACAGATATATATCTATATCTATATATATTATATAAAAGGTCGCAATCATGGTTTGGATGTTCCAGTTGGCCGGTTTCATCCAAAAGTTAAAAATGGTTTTGAAAATTGTAGTTAGGCACCGGAATATTTCTTAATTCTCATATGGTATAGACAATATTTCTCTCCGAGAATCTTTGAATGAGTTTCTAGAAGCGTGATATAAAATGGCTAATAATCATATGACAGATGTTGAAGTTTTCCACTTGAGAGGTGATTTTGGAGGAGAGATGTTG